TAGTTGATATGTTATGCTATGCTATGATTCAGTCAGTTCCGGACTTCGATCCGATGCAGTTAGTTCCGAACTTCGGTCCGATGCAGTTAGTTCCGGACTTGGTCCGATGCAGGGGACAGGGTCCCAGTCAGTTCCGGACTTCGGTCCGATGCAGTTAGTTCCGGACTTGGTCCGATGCAGGGGACAGGGTCCCAGTCAGTTCCAGACTTCGGTCCGATGCAGTTAGTTCCGGACTTGGTCTGATGCAGGGGACAGGATCCCAGTCAGTTCCGGACTTCGGTCTGATGCAGTTAGTTCCGGACTTTGGCCCGATGCAGGGGACAAGGTCCCAGTCAGTTCCGGACTCCGGTCCGATGCAGTTTCCGGGCTTCGTCCCAATGCAGTGGGCAAGGCCCAATATGTGTTTATATGTTATTGTATGGTATGTGGTAGTTTAGGGGAGCTCACTAAGCTTCGTGCTTACAGTTTCAGTTTTGGTTTCAGGTATTCAGTTTTCAAAAGAGGAGCTCGGGAAGATTGCAGTGCACACACCATTTGTTCAGCCTGGGATGTTTTTACTCTGATATATTTGACAGTTGTTATAATATTCTGAGATACATTGCTTATGATTTCTATATGAGGTTTATTGACTATGGTTTTATCATTAAATTAAACGAAATATTCAGACTGTGTTTTTGGGATGTTTCACTACTTCTCAAAGATTGATCTGCGATCCGGATATCACCAACTACGAGTGTTAGAGGAGGATGTTCCCAAAACAGCCTTCCGAACTCGTTATGGGCACTACGAGTTTGTAGTGATGCCATTCGGATTAACTAACGCACCCGTTGTATTCATGGATCTGATGAATAGGGTGTGTCGTCCTTACTTGGATCAGTTCGTCATCGTCTTCATTGATGACATACTCATCTACTCTCGAAGTAAGGAGGAACATAGTCAACATCTCCGTAAAATCTTAGAAACACTGCGAGCGGAGAAGCTCTACGCGAAGTTCTCGAAGTGCGAATTTTGGATTCGACGAGTCGAGTTTTTGGGCCATGTGGTTAGCGAAGAAGGGATACACGTGGACCCCTCCAAGATCAAGGCCATTGAGAACTGGTCAGCACCAAAGACACCTACCAAAATTCGTCAATTTCTAGGTCTAGCTGGCTACTATCGCAGGTTCATTTAGATCTTCTCCAGCATAGCGAAACCACTTACAACCCTGACCTAGAAAGGCGTGGCCTTTGACTGGGAAGAGAAACAGGAAAGAGCGTTCCAAACGCTCAAACGAGCCTTGTGCACCGCCCCGATACTATCCCTCCCCGAAGGGATAAGAAGACTTCATTGTCTATTGCGATGCATCCAACCAAGGACTCGGATGTGTTCTGATGCAGTGAGGTATAATCATCGCCTATGCCTCGAGACAGCTTAAGACACATGAGGTTAATTACACAACCCACGATCTTGAACTAGGAGCAGTTGTGTTTGCTCTGAAGATCAGGCGACATTACCTATATGGTACAAAAAGCACGATCTTTATGGACCATAAGAGTCTACAACACATTTTCGACCAGAAAGAGCTCAACATGAGACAACGACGGTGGGTCGAGCTACTCAGCGATTACGAATGTGAAATTCGTTATAATCCGGGTAAAGCCAATGTAGTAGCCAACACCCTAAGTCGGAAAGAATATACTGGTCGTAGAGTCAAATCTTTGACTCTAACTATCCATTCAAACTTGTCCACGCAAATTAAGGAGGCTCAGCTCGACGCTTTGAAACCTGAAAACGTGGCTGGTGAATCCCTTAGAGGGATGGATAAGAACTTGGAAGTCAAGGGTGGCGGAGCCTTATACTTCATGGATCGGATCTGGACACCGAAACACGGTGGCTTCAGAGACTTGGTCATGACCAAAGCTCACAACACACATTATTCCATCCACCCGGGTTCAGATAAGATGTATCTGGATCTTAAAAAGCTATATTGGTGGCCTAACATGAAAGCAGATATTGCTACCTTCGTGAGTAAATGCCTTACTTGCGCAAAGGTCAAGGTTGAATACCAGAAACCCTCCGGTCTTCTACAAAAACCGGAAATACCAGAATGGAAGTGGGAGCGGATCACTATGGACTTCATAACCAAGTTACCCAAGACGGCGGGTGGACTTGATTCCATATGGGTCATCGTTGATAGACTGACCAAGTCTGCACACTTCCTACCAATCAAAGAAACAAAAAAGATGGAGAAACTTACCAAAACTTACATTAGGGAGATTGTAAGGCTGCACGGTGTTCCTTTATCTATCATCTCGGACCGAGATAGTAGATTCACATCGAGGTTCTGGCAGTCATTACAAAGTTCCCTAGGAACTAGGCTGGACATGAGTACAACCTACCATCCACAGACCGACGGGCAAAGTGAGAGGACTATCCAAACCTTAGAAGATATGTTGCGTGCCTGTGTGATTGACTTTGGAAAAGCTTGGGATACTCATTTACCCATAGTCGAATTTTCCTATAACAACAGTTATCACACGAGCATAAAGGCAGCTCCATTCGAGGCCCTCTATGGCCGAAAGTACAGGTCCCCTCTGTGCTGGGCTGAAGTGGGTGATACCCAGTTAGCTAAGGGACGAGTTCCCGAAAGCACTCTCACGGGTCCGGAAATCATTCGAGAAACGACAGAGAAGATCGTTCAAATTCGTGAATGATTGAAAGCCTCTAGAGATCGACAGAAAAGCTACACTGACAAGCGTAGGAAACCTTTGGAGTTCCAGGTGGGCGACCGAGCCCTACTGAAGGTCTCACCCTGGAAGGGCTTGATACGCTTTGGAAAGCGTGGGAAGCTAAATCCAAGATACATAGGGCCTTTTGAGATTCTTGCGAGAATCGGCCCTGTAGCTTACAAACTCAATCTACCGCAAGAACTCAGTAACGTACATCCTACCTTCCACGTCTCGAACTTGAAAAAGTGTCTATCCGACGAGACTCTTGTTATTCCACTCGACGAGATCGAGATCAACGAGAGCCTCAATTTCGTGGAGGAACCAGTAGAGATCATCGACCGAGAGGTCAAGCAAACAAAACAGAGCCGTATCCCGATAGTGAAGGTGCGCTGGAATGCAAAGCGTGGACCGGAATTCACTTGGGAAACTGAGGATCAGATGAAACTGAAATACCCTCACCTTTTCGCTTAGTTATTTGTATTTCCTTATTTGCTTAAATTCTAATTTCGGGACGAAATTCCTTCTAACGGGGGGATGATGTGACAACCCGAAATTTCCATTCTGTACAAACTATATCACTTCAATAGAAGTTGTAGCAGTCACAATTAATTTTCAGACTTTTCGCGAAAGTTTGAGAAATTCTGGGTTTACACTTCAGGAAATATCAGGAGAGTGGGTGCAGTAGGGTTTGGTGCAACACTGTTATTCCAACACTCTAATTTATTAGGGATCATTTCAGGAATAAAAATATTTTCTGCCAAAATATCTCAGGGCTATAAATAGATTTCTAAACCAAAATCATTCATTATTCACATTTCCAACTAGAGAAAAGCCATTTTCTCTCTGACGGATCTTCGGGTTTTATACCAAAACGTGAGTAACTCTTTATAATATTGTTAGAAAGCTTTATACGTGTCTATAACATGTTTTAGAAGGCTAAAACATGAAATCTAGGAGTTTACACCTCGAGGTGTTCTTGAGCGGTAAACTCCCGAAACGAAGCCAAAACCGACACATGTGTTATGATAAGGCCTTAGACGTTTATGTATGCGTGTTAGGGACAATAAAACAAGCCAAAAGCCACCCAAGATTGGGAGTTTACGGCCCAAAACTCTCTTAGGCCGTAAACTCCATATTCTAACATTACATGGTGTTTTGAGGACACTAGGACTTTAGGACTTGTATCTAGACTATTTCCCCAAGTAGAACAAGGTCTTAAACACATCAAATGACACAAATCAAACTGAGTTTACGGCCCAAGAGAAGCTTAGGCCGTAAACTCCATAATAATGGACAAAAGTGTGGTTTCAAGATACCTAAAGCCCTAGACCCCTTGATGAAATTGTTTCCTACAAAAATGAGGAACCTAAATACATAAAAATCACTCATCAAGGTGAGTTTACGGCCAAGAGAATGTTCTTGGGCCGTAAACTCAAAAGGATGGCACCAAAGTGTGCCTAGGGTTCTCATTTGCTTTAAACAATTGTCTAGAACATATCCCACAAGTTCAAGAGGCTTGAAAGCAACTAAAACCCACCATACTTAGAGTTTACGGCCGTAAACTCTAAGGGTAATAGCCTTGAGGCCGTAAACTCCTAATTGGAGTACTTCTAGACCTTAAACTCTTCCAAGGACTTAGCCACTAAGTTAGAAAAATCCTAGAAAGCATTTGGGACTTCAAAACACACCAGACACACATGTTTGGGAGTTTACGACCGTAAACTCAATAGTTTACAACCGTAAACTCACTACTAGAAAAAAGGCCTTTTACGATGCTCATTACGCGTCGTAAAACGCTCAGACGACGCGCAAATGCGCGTCAAGGAAGGCCCTGTCATAAAGAGAGATGACGCGCTTTTGCGCGTCGTCTATAGACGACGCGCATTTACGACGCGCGGTTATGACACGCAATGCGTATCAAGAAAGGGTTGTCATAAAGGAAGACGACACGCATTTGCGTGTCGTAACCTTACGACGCGCGTGTTTATGACACGCAATGCGTATCAAGGAAGTACCAGTCAAGAAAGGCCATGTCATAAATGAAGACGACACACATTTTTGCGTATCGTAATTTTAATTTTTTTAAAAAAAATATATATTTATATATTTATTAATTTATAAATTAAATTTGCATTTAATCTCTCATAATAGAAATAAAATACCATATACAAAAAATACAATCCATTGCATAATATAAAATAAAATACCATATACAAAAAATACAATCCATTGCATTTAATTTGTATGTATAACAAAGACACATGTGTTAAACTTGTTACCATTAACATCTAATCATATGGATTCGAGTGTTAAACTTGGTACCATTAATATCTGATTCATAAGTCCTTTCAACAAGATTGTTACCTGCATAAATGAAAACAAATAGGAACATTAACAGCCCAGCATGCTCAAGCCTCATCAATACAACAAAGGAGACAAAAGTAATGTAATAAGCCAAACATTAAAACCAAACATTAATATAAGAGATGAGAAATCTTTTACCTGAATATAAATAGCACCAAAAAAACCACCATTTCCAAGCTGGAATTGAGTCCGATGCAATGTAACTAAAAAAACACAAATCACTCTCAAATTTCACTTACCCCTTTCACTTTCACATAACACCAACCAACCTACTTATAAGTTGCTAATTATCTAGGCTATTTTTCTTTTTCTCTTGATCAAAATAACATGTTTATGCCCAAGTCAATTACAGAATTGTATTCCTTAGTATCATGTGGACACAACAGATGCTGAAAAAATTGAATAATTTATCTTTTGCTGCAATTGGATCATACAAAGCTAGACACACTTTTATATGTTTCAAACATAAACTTATTGTGTAATGAGGATCCAAATGGAATAATTCAGCCACCCCATACTCCTTTGTTCTATCTCGCCTCTATAATTTATTTCACCGTTCAAGAGAAGGGTATAAGGGGTTTCATAGGCATTATGAATTAATTTATCCTTTATTCTACTTCCCTTATTTGAATTAAACAATCTCATCATAAAACGTTCAACATTTCAACATATTATACGACCTAATGCACTAAAATTCAAGTGATGTAAAACAATAAAAGTTGCTTTGAAAGTTCATAAATAAAAAAAATTACCTTTTCAAATTCTGCATAAACTTGTGCAGGAGCTATGGTCATCAAAGTTGATAAAGCAAGTACTGTAGCTTCTTGTTCCAAATGACTAGTACTCATCAACCCCATTGGTCCAGGCAAACCCTACATATTATACCACAACCAAGGGTTAATAATAATTAATAATATATAAAAGATAAGATAAAAAGTAATCAATAAAAAAATATCAACACTCGGAATCAATGATTCCACAGGTAAAAAAAACTTACATTGGAATCAGAACGCTGCAAAGGGCTTCTGGAATCAGCTTCTAGAAGGTGACCTACTCCTACGTGGAGGAGACCTGCTTCTGTGTAATCCATCAGTTTATTGACACATCACATGATAAGGGCATTCTAGTCTTTTCAACACTAGTACTTCTATGTAAGTAACAAACACATATAGAATAGTGAATAGTCCATCAGGGCATTCTAGTCTTTTCAATTCATTAGGGACCCACAGTGGTGCCTTGAATTTGTATGAAACAAGACCAAATGCTGGTAATGAGACCACACCCGTCCCACTGAAATGCCTTACAATAGGTGGATGCTCACATTCATTGCCTGAAACAAAAATAAAAAACAATAATAATAAATTAGTAATGCAACTCGTAAATTTTATAACTATAAAAAAAGGTTGTTTCTCAACCTGAAAAATCCAAGGAGATTTATATGATATATATGAATGACCTGTAGTAGGAGTGTGAAGGGAATGAAAAGTTAGAAAAAAAGCATCAAGATCTTTCAAGGTGGGCCCCATGGGAATTCTATATATTGGGTACCTGATAAAAAGCATCAAAAAAGGGCCATTTAGTAGTATCATATTATGTAAGAAAGAGCAAGTAGCAAAGACCATATTAAGAATCTGTTTGATTGGATGGAATGGAATGGAATCACAAAGGAATGGAATGAGTTGTGATCATATTTGGTTGGTCTGTAGCAATGGAATGAACCATTCCATTCCTTCCCAAACTCTAGTACTTATTAGCAATCATACCAAGCGACAGAAAGCCAACTAGATGGAAACAAGTCACAACTTCTTAGACTTTTCAATTCAGGGAAACGTTGTGCAAGATCAAGTATCTGTTGCAACAAGAAAACAGAACTAAACTAATTATCCAAAGATTTATAAATATAGAATAAAACCCACTTTCTTTGTTTTTTTTAAAGCTAACCTTATCACACAAAGGTTCTCTGCCCAAAGGCTGACTATGTTCCATGTACTCAAATATCAAGCAACTTTGAGTGGTGGCAGAATCACTATCATCACTAGAAAAGTCTTCTTGAACTACATTGTTCTCATCATTCATTGACAAATGATCTATTCGGTGAAGAATGTCATTCTTTGGGTGATGATTATTACTCTTCTCCCTTAGATAATGTAAAGAACCCTTTTCCTGTTCATAATCACTGCTCCCATCACTACTTGAATCCGTAAATGAGTTATCATCAATATCCTCAGTTAGTTGCCTGTAAAGCAACATAATAACTAGATTATTTAAATTTCATAAAGAAGCGTAATAGATGCTACTAGTTGAAAAGGAGCCTGACATAACCCTAAACAAGAAAGAGGAAGAAAGGAAGATATTTACTGTTCCAGTACCTGGAATTTATTGAAGACTTCAAAGGGTCTACATATATTTGAATTCCAGATAAATAAGGCACATAATATTGGATCACATAATTAGCTTCATTCAATATTAAAGGAACTCCAGCACCATAAGCACTCCACTCCTTGAAAGATTCCCACAAATCACCAAAAACAAAGTATGGTTGATATTCCACATCACTTGTCCTCCATCCTCTCATAGTTCTCTGCTGCCATAAAGTTCAAGTAAAATCATTATTTGGATCAAATACACAACTACAATACCCCTGTTTATACATGATTACTGAACATTAACCATTTTATTGTACTCTAATTCTTTTTGGAAGATGATGTGCTTTAGCAGAAACACATATATTTTGATTGTCAAAATATGGAATCCTTGATTAAACAATAGAAATATAACATCAAAGGCAAACTCTGTTCTGTAACGACCCGTTCCCGGTATGTTGATTTATTGGTAATTATAGTGAGTTTTTCAAGAGGGACTCGGCGAGTTCTAGCCTGACTCGCCGAGAAGGGTCGCGCCTGAGGGCACGCGTGAGCCGGGGACTCGGCGAGTCCATATCCCTGACTCGGCGAGTCCATCTGTCTGGGTGAAACCCTAAAATCCCCGGGTTGCCCACTATTTATACCACCTTATAGCCCCCATCCTCGCCTCCCTCACCCTGAGAACGCAGTGTTAGAACCCTAAACCTCCCTTGAAGAGCTTATATGTGTTTTGGTGCCATTTTGTGAAGGTGTGAAGAAGGAGAAGAAGGAAGAAGCAAGGAGAAGTGTTGTAGTGCAAAGATCCAAGGCCAAATCAGAGTTAATTGAGGTATTTTCGGAGTTCCATCTTGTTATATGCTTTAAACTTCCATTAGAGCTCTCCTAAGAGCTAGTTGATGCTTGTTCCAAGCCTTACACTTGCATGAACGCCTTATTAAGTCGAAATAGCTATGGATCTGAATGTTGGGGTGTTGTAGAGCCCAGATCTACTGTCTTTTTGGAGTTATATTGCATGATAACCATAGATCTACCCATTTTGTGCATCTTTTAGCCTTATTTCCCTTATTCATGAGGTTGTACACGTAAAGTTGGAAACTTTACGTGGTAAATCAGCTTATTGGACCAGATCTATCAATTGTATGTGTTGGATTCAAACAAAATCAAGTAAAAATCAGTTGCATGGCGGCAACTCGGCGAGTCGGAAGAACGACTCGACGAGTTGGGTCGCGAGTCCCGATTCTTCAGTTTTTCAGTGTCGAGTGACGAGGTGAGTTAGAGAGTGGACTCAGCGAGTTGAGGGTGAACTCAGTGATGGAGGGACTCGGCGAGTTGTTCATCAACTCGGCGAGTCCAAGGCAATCTTCTTGATCAAGAACAACTCGTCGAGTTTGTTCATCCGGCTCGGCGAGTCGGATGAAGATTGTCTGAGTTCTTGGATCAAGAGGGTACTCGTCGAGTCGATGCCAGACTCGACGAGTAGCAGTGAGTAAGAGTGAAAAGTGAGAGTGGACTCGGCGAGTTGGGTGGCCCAACTCGGCGAGTCAGCCCAAAAGATAATTGACTTTGACCGAGGGTAAAAGAGTCATTTTACCCCAAGCGCAGTGTTTAGTATTTGATTGAGTGTGTTTATGGACTTGTAGCCGAGGAGATTCAGGAGCAGCCGCCGTTAGCTTTCCGAGCCACACACTCAGCAGCCAGCTTACGAGGTGAGTTTCCTTCCAGTAGGAACGGGTCTAAGGCCACAATGCCGGCCCGTTCAGTTAGCAGTAGTTTCCGGATTTAGGTCCGATGCAGTAGTTAGTATGTTCGATGCCTTCGTGGCTCGAACAGGATTTGTGTGCTATGTTTTATGTGTTAAGTATTATGTGTTCCGGGCCACGGCCCGATGTAGCATGTCGTATATGTGTTATGCTAGTTGATGTGTTATGCTATGCCATGTTCAGTCAGTCAGTTCCGGACTTCGGTCCGATGCAGTTAGTTCCGGACTTCGGTCCGATGCAGGGGACAAGGTCCCAGTCAGTTCCGGACTTCGGTCCGATGCAGTCAGTTCCGGACTTCGGTCCGATGCAGTCAGTTCCGGACTTCGGTCCGATGCAGTCAGTTCCGGACTTCGGTCCGATGCAGTTAGTTCCGGACTTCGGTCCGATGCAGGGGACAAGGTCCCAGTCAGTTCCGGACTTCGGTCCGATGCAGTTTCCGGGCTTCGGCCCGATGCAGTGGGCAAGGCCCAATATGTGTTTATATGTTATTGTATGGTATGTGGTAGTTTGGGGGAGCTCACTAAGCTTCGTGCTTACAGTTTCAGTTTGGTTTCAGGTACTTCCGCAAGCAAAGGGAAGAGCTCGGGGTGACAGCATCGCACACACCACAGCATAGCTTTTATCCTGGGGATGTCTTTTGATGTTTTGGATTGATGTAGTATGATACAGTTTTCCGCACAATATTTTATTATGTTTTGGGGATACATCGCGTATGTTTTATGTTATGATACTTATATTATGGTTTTGATTATATTGAAAAACGAAAATTTTTGGGTCGTGTTTTGGGTCGTTTCAAGTTGGTATCAGAGCCCTGGTTTGAGGGATTCGGATACACTTCCGGGTGTATCTGAACTCAAACTAAGGGAAATAAAAGATTTTAGTAAAATAAAAATGTTTTACAAAAAGAATTTTGAAAGCACTTAGAAAGAAAGAATTGTTTTTAACAAGATAGAGGTGTGTGCATGCGGTCAGCCGAGCTCAAGTAAGTACTCCCAAATTACCCATACAAGTTATTTGTTCAGTTTCAGTTTCAGTAGAACAGCATGCTAGTATAGGGCTAAGGATCTAGGAGAATGCCTTATGTGCCTGCTTATGTGTTACAGCTTTATGAGTATTGCATGCTAGAATTGAGTAGACAGCAGTAGGATAGCCTGTTTAGGTTATGCCTGATAGTATGAGCTTAGCATCCTATGCTAGTGCAGTTTCTTGTTATAAGAATAGTTTTGCCTGAGTCTGTTTCCCTTGTCCGAATGCTGCTTGCTTCGTGCTTGGTGGGGTTCTGAGTAGTGGGAGTTAGCCATTAGGTGAACACGTCACACCACATGTATCAGGTTTGAATAATCCCAGAGTGCTGGAACTGGCCCTATTGCGCAGCTCTTGTTTGAGTCCAACCGTTGTAGGGACGGATCTTTTACTTGAAGGATTATCTGATCCTCATCACATGTGATGGTGTTTAGGTGGTGGCTAGCTGGCATTATGAGGAGACCTACAGCAGCTGAGGACCAGTCGTGTTGAGCTTGAGGTTTCCTAGGGCAAGCCTAGGATGAGAGTAGCAGAGAATGGCAGTAGTAGAAGTGACTTGGTGGAGTCAAGGCAGTTCTTGAGGAAAGTACGGATAGATGTGGAAGGTAGTAGGGGCCCATACTACTGAAAGCAGAGGATCCGTACTCGAATCAAGGAAGGCCAAGACAAGACCAGGAAGCTAGTAGTAGTATCATGATCCCTTGAGATATTTCAGTGTTCTGATGTTGTTATGATATGTTTCAGAATGGTAGTTTTGCGTCCGAGACCAGCAGTCGGCAGCTCAGATGCCGGAGGGGGATCAGGATCGGGATCAGGCCCGGAGGTCGGGCAGATGGATGAGCAGACTAGAGAGTTCCTTTCTTCTGAGGTTACCCGCATCATACTGGAGCAGACTCCTGTGATCTTCGGTTCGATCAAGGAGGGTATTTTAGAGCTGATGGATGAGAGATTGAGTACTTTCCGTGCTGAGATGGCGGCCGTGATGGGGTCGCGCACACTTACGTTCAGGGAGTTCAGGGCATGCGGGGCTCCAGACTATCATGGGGCGCGGGACCCCATAGCGAGTACCAGATGGTTGGCGGATGTGGCCAACGCTTTCCGCACTAGCAGGTGTCCCGAGGGGGACAAGGTCAGATTGGCGTCCTGTCTTCTGAAGGACAGGGCACGGGATTGGTGGGAGGAGGTCGGACATGCCATCGGGGATGATGCGGCATTGGATGCCATGACCTGGGCTGATTTCTCTACCAGGTTCAGGGCGGAGTTTGCACCAGTCATTGAGGTGCAGCAGTTAGCTAGGGAGTTTCAGGACCTTACCCAGACTACAGAGACAGTGGCGGAGATCACCGCCAAGTTCAGGGAGAGGGCCCTTCTTGTTCCTCAGTATGCAGCCGATGAGGAGATGAAGAAGGCCCGTTATCATGAGATGTTGCGGAGTGACATTCGCATGTTTGTGAGCCGGTCCAGTTGTAAAACGCTGGACGACATGATTGCCAGAGCTAGAGAGAGGGAGATTGATCTCGAGATGGAGAAGAAGAGGAAACCGGAGGCGGTTTCGGGTTCAGGCAGTGTGGGCAAAAAGCCCAAGGTTTCAGATCACAGGTCTAGGGTCAGCAGAGCCACGGTCGGTGTGGCAAGTGTGGGAGATTGCACGAGGGGGCGTGCAAGGCAGGGAGTTCCGGCTGCTACAAGTGCGGTCGGACTGGGCATTTGAGTAGGGATTGTACGGCCCCTGCTACTACGGTTACAGCATCAGATCTGATTTGCTTTCAGTGCAATCAGAGGGGACATAAAAGGTCCCAGTGTCCCAGTTTAGCTGCAGCAGGGAAGGTGGTTGCACCTGCCCCTGCCACCTTGAGGATTACGGATGGCCGGCAGGGCCGATCTGATGCGCCAGTGGCGAAGAGCAGGGCATTTCAGATGACAGCAGAGGAGGCGCGAGCGACTCCTGATGTGGTGACGGGTATGTATCTTTCCTCATCTTTAATTGTTATATATATCGTTTGAATATTACTTGATGATATGTTTTATTTAGGGTCGTTCTCGGTGAACGGCATCCCTGCTTTGGTATTGTTCGATTCGGGGGCTACCCGATCATTTGTATCGCTTGCGCTTAGCAAGAGATTTAGCAGAGCTCCAGGGGAGCTGGATTGTCCATTAGAGGTTGAGATAGCAGATGATAGGACCGTGAGGGTCGGCAGAGTACATAGAGGGTGTTCCCTTCAGATATTTGATGAGCAGTTTTCAGTGGACCTGGTTCCTATTCCCCTGCGTGGGAATAAAGTTATTGTGGGCATGGATTGGCTGAGCCCCAATGGGGCGGTGATTGATTGTGAGCTTCAGCTAGTGAGGGTTCGCACTCCCAGTGGGGGAGAGATAGTGATTCAGGGCGAGAGGCCCCAGCGAGGACCGATCTTTTGTTCCGCCGCAAG